TTATTTTTATTGTGATTTTAGTGTTCCATTCATCAATTTCATTTAATATAAAGTGGTCCAAGAGAAAAAGTGCTCTTGTTTTAACTTCCATCATCCAAAGTTCACATAGTAAGAATGTTCAAGATGGTTTCGTTAAAAAGTGGCAAAAAATGTACAGTTCAGAATTAGCACACTTGGTGTTTCTCCAGGAGAAAAAAAATCATCAAGATGTATAGTAAATCTTCACTATAATTAGTGGTAGTGATTCTGAGCATTTGGTCAATGTCCGTGGTTCAGGGAAGAGATTCAGAAAAAAGCTGCAACTTATTTGGTCTCAGTCTTATCTTGCAACAGTGGTATAATAGACTCCCACGCCGTAAGGCACTATTTGAACGAAAGAAACAGATACAACAATTAATTAATAATGTCATTCTAAATCAAATAGTCATAAGGAATGATCTTATAATAATGTCATTTAATGCTTAAGTGGCCTTAAATAATACAATTTGTGGATTAAACAATTTTGTCAATATCTGCATTTCCAATACAGCAGCTGCAAAGGCACAATTTTATGATATGATCAATAAAATTGATAATAACCATTTATTCTATTAAATAATAGGTTATTCTACACCTTGTAGATCAGGCATGTCAAACTCGCGACGTCACGTGACATTGCGCGACATATCGCAACTTTTTCCCCATTGCTGGCAATGGGGTAGGTGCGGTTTCGGTGTGATGTATCCTGCCCGCGGGCCGGCAGTTTACATACCTGTTGTAGATTGTCTTTCTTTATGTGGGATATCTCATATCCTTTCCAAATCTATCACCTTCCAGATGCACTGGAGCTTATATTTTCAAGATTTCCCACCTATCAAAGTTCACATACTTTTGCCACACACTAGATAGATAGGTAGGTGGGTGGATGGGTGGATGTATAACCTTTATTGTCTGGCAGATCTTAATCATTTAATGTACACAAGTGTCCTTTTGACCAGTGTAACTCTGCAAGGTCCTACCCAAAATAGATTTAATGGTGGCCTTATAAATAGCCTTCTATAACCAGATGACTCCCAAATGTGTTAGAAGGACAATTCCCAGAATTTGCAGCCAATCTGGCCCATGATGTGCAAGGTCAACCTATGCACTTACTGGCAAACTACAAATGTAATTTCCTGCTCTATCTGTGTGGACAGGATTCGGCCTCATCGGTGGCAGTATAAAACAGCCAAAGCTTTAACAAGATTAGTGCACCCAGGAAAAAAGAGAGAGCAATTCTAAAGCTTATTACATCAGCTTTATACTCAACGGGCATCAGCAAGTTAGTCAGTAAAATTACATTCAACTGCTTTCCTGCATCTTCCTAGTGGCAAATTTAGAGCATTACCTTCTCGTAATATTGTATGTTTTTATCTGCCATTCCCATCAGCAGCTGCCTAAAATCTTGCCGCTTGTTGTTCTGCCATCTGTCCATGTCAGCCTTCAGGTCGGCATTAAAGCACTCTACCCGGTCTTGACACTTTTCAACATCTGTGGGCACCTGGAAACCAAAAACAAAGCAGTGCTGTAGAAATAGGTTCTGAAAGCTTTTTAGACGTAAAAAGATCTCTGACTGAGAAGAATCAGAAATACCTTTCAATTTTTCACAGGTACCTCAATTAATGATTGCTGCAGAGTTCATAAAGTTCCTCTTATTCTTGAACATACGTACTCAAGCCATTACTTACTACGATTGCCAGTTATATATAATGGCCAAGTACAAAGTATGAATGAGGGTCCTGTATACTAAGAAGCTTTTTATTTCTTACCTATGCAAATATCAGGACAGTCTAAGTTAAGGATAATGTACTAGACAAGGTATTGGATTTTAACCAAGGCTGCATGGATATAAATTTCTCAGCACAGATCTAAAGTATATTGGATAGCAGGATCCAATCTGGGTCGCTCACCGGGACAAGAATTTTTGCCTTCTGAGCTTTTGGACTGGTGCTGGAGCCCATTTTCAGGGAATGTCTCCCTAGAAGAGTGTGTGCTGTTCTCTGTGTGGTATTTATAGTGTCTGTTGTAAGTGGCTTTTTAGATGTTGATTGGGGTATGTTGATGGCTGGCTTTTAAGTCCTTTGGGTATATATTATATTGGGTAGCTTTACTGAATTTTTCTTTCAACATGAGATTGTTAAGGGAACAAAATGGAGTTACTCCTGCATGTTGTCCTGGGAGAGATTTTCAAGCTATTGCACACAGAATTTGGTACATTAAATCCAGTGAAACTTACTCCCAAGGCAAGGAGTTAATACTTCCTCCACAAAATAGTACTGATTTAAAAAAAAAAAGCCTGTAGATTCTTGCACAAGAACAAATACAGGCAGTCCTTGACTTACAACAGTTTGTTTAGTGACCGTTTGAAATTACAACGGCACTGGAAAAAATGACCTACAACCATTTTCCACACTTATGACCACTGCAGCATCCCCATAGTCACGTGATTTACATTCGGATGCTTGATAGTTGGTTCATATTTATGACGGTTGCCGAGTCCCGGGATCATGTGATCCCCTTTTGCGACCTTCTGACAAGCAAAGTCAATGGGGAAGCCAGATTCACTTAACATCTGTGTAACTAATTTAACCACTTCACTGATTCACTTAACAAATGTGGCAAGAAAAGTTGTAAAATGGGGCAACACTCACTTAACAAATTTCTCACTTAAGAACATAAATTTTAGGCTCAATTGTGATTATAAGGTGAGGACTACCTGTAGCAACAAAGGAAACACACAACAGTTATCAGGAATAAACTGAAGGAAATATGATATTATGTCTGGAAACAAAACCAAGAACTCATCTCATTGTGACTCACAATGCCTCAACTATTTATAGAAGCTACTTCTGTCAGGACACAGTTTTCTAATTAAATCAGATAATACTAATTATAATTAAATAGAGTTGAGATACTGTACTTCATAAGAATTCTTGCTTATTTTCAAAATAACTTCTTTCACAAACCTCACCCATATTCTTAGTCTCAGTTCAATAGTGTTGGTATTTAATTGAAACAAGACGCTACTACCCAATGTATAGAAAACGTTATTGGAAACCTTCAGTAAAATAAACTATCGAACAGACTCCTCATTCAATTTAAAAGGTTCTCCCCCAGAGCAAACCTTGGGACGGTCTTCTCTCTTGAGGACCACAGCTTCTAGTTTGGCTTCATATTCTGCTTGAACTTGATCTCTTTTCTTCAACACATTCTAAGAGGGGAGAAGAGAGAAAGAAGTGCTGCAATTAATTAAAGAAATTGTAAAAGTCAATAGTCTCTTGTTGTACTATAGGTAGTTCTGTAGTTCATTTAATGACTGTTCAAAGTTACAACACTGGAAAAAAGTGACTTAAGACTGTTTTCACACAACCAGCCCAAAAGGGAACAAAAAGACCCAGGCACCCCCCCCCACACACACACACACACCAGCAATCAGCACCCAGATCAGCATAGATTAACTCCAAGGTTAACTTCTGATCAACAATCAAGTAAACAATACCCAATCAAGAGTCAACAGTAAACAGCCCAACCAAAGAATCTCTAAGACTACCCCCACCAACACTGACAGGTCAAGCCACCAGAATATAAACTGACAGCAAACCGCACTCCTTACTAGCAGTGATGATGTTACCTAGTTTGGGTATGAAAAGTCTACAAGAAAACAAGCAAGCTTAGAGAGTTGTAAGTCAAAGACTATCTGTACAGGAAAGCTTCATTTTTTTAGATCTCATTTTCTGCATAGTGACGACAAGCACAATACATCTGAAACCACAGTGATTCAGAAAAAATAATGCAGATAATTCTCAACTTACAAGCATTTGTTTAGTGGCCAAAGTTACTATGGTACTAAAAAAAAGTGACTTATGACCTTTTTCATACGACCGTTGCAGCATCCCCATGGTCACATGATCAAAATTCAGATATATTTTTTTTCTTTATAAAAGGTGGGGAGCAGAAGGTTCTTCACAAACTAGCATCTGTCAGCCTCCCCACCAGTTAGGAGGTTTTTAAAACAAAGATCCCCTTATTTGTTATTATTAATAAGTGTACAACTCTTTTGCTTTTGCATACATATTTTATTTATTTATTCATCCATGCATCCATATATTATTCCACTCTTATGCCTAGAGTCAGTGCTTCATCACTTCAGCAATATATGAGCAAAAACTACAATCTTCATCACTTAAGTGGACCAAGTCTAAGACTGAAGGTTGACAAAGGACAAAAAATACAGAGAACAGATGCAATATCCACAACTCAGTCTCCCTCGCTATTTAAGCCTGATGTGTTCAGATCAATGTATAAATAAGGCTTGGTCATATCAACGTTCATACTTCCTCCCATCAGCAATCATTAACAATGTAAATGCCTCAGATTGCCTCAACACATGCATCTTCCGTTTACCCAACCAGGAAAATCACACTGAAATATGGCAGGCAGCTTGTGATGGATGCGTAGCCAGTAAATGCACAAACTCAGGAAATCTATTTCCTTTATTTACATCTATCTTCTTCTTCATTTACATCTCAAAATGTTATTTGGGGGCCTTTTTACAAATATATATTTGGCAAGATGGCTTGCAGAGTTGAAAGAAATCAACTTGAATAGACTGCAATTTAGGCTAAGGATTTTCAGCTGTTTGTCATAGTACAGGTGCTCCTCAGCTGACAGCCAAGTAATTGGAACCAGAATTCCCATTAAATTTCCATTGTAAAGGATGACATTATGTGACCACTTCACTTAGTGACCGTAATTCTGGCAGTCCCAGTTGTCACCATCCCAGCCTGGTCCCTCCCAGCCCCAAGCACAGTAAAATAAGGAACTACATTCTCTTTAGTTCCCCCCCACACCTCTCTCTCCTCCATGTCTGCTCTTTTGGGGCTGGCAGAGGTGACCAAATGGCCAAAGAGTTGGGTAAAGAAAATCGAAGCACCCCTGCAGTCACAAAGTCCTGGCAGGCAACCAAGAGCCAGAATTTTGATCAAGTGACCATCGGAGTGTTGCCACAGCCATAAATTCAAAGACCAGACATAATTATCATTTATTCAGTGCCAATGTAACTTTGAACGGTGGCCGAACAAATGGTTAACTGACTATCTCTAAATACGAAAGTCATTCAGGTCAAATTATGTAACCACGTAACCCAGTAGTAGCAGCAGCAGCATGACAGTGTTCTCATAAGACTTGCTCACTAATTTTTATTTTTTTTAAATGAAGGTACCATGGGTTGAAAGCCCAAGTCCCCAGCATGCAAAAGATGTGCTGTACTGCTGAACTAGCTCCCTTTCGGAAAAAAAGAAAAAAAAGAAAAACTCTTAGAAGTTAGCTACAAGCTAGCTATTCCTTTTGAGTTTAAATGATGGTAGGAGAAAGCAAGTTGGGTCATTGTTTAACCAAGATGACTAATAAAAACAAAAAAAAATTATATTCTGCCCAGATCTGGGCATTTTACAGCTCCTGGGCCATATCCAGTCCTTTGACTGTCCCTATCTGGCCCACGTGAGGTCAATCAGAAATTAGAAAATAAAATGTAAATAAGTGGGACAGGAAGAAGAAGCTGAGTACACTCCTTTAGTTGGCTGGTGAAAAAAAACTTTTCTGCACTTGCGGCAAAAGAGTGGTGAGGCGAGGCTCCCTCCTCCGTCAACATGAGGTGGCAGCAGAATTAAGTTCAGCCTATTGGTTCAGCCCTCCACAAAATCCCAGTTTCTCATGCAGCCCCTTGGAAAAATGAATCGCCCACCCCTGTATTATGTATTATGTTGCATTTTATTGCTAAAAAAGATATCTTCTTTTTTCTTTTAAAGTTAAGCCGGGAGAGATTGCAGATTTCTCAAACAAAACAGTTGCAAGTTTCTCAAGAGAGATCGGAGACGGCACGAAGGAGCAGCCCTCAGGAGCAAAGGGAGAGAGATGTCAGAGCGGATGATAAACAAACTGGGATAACGTGTATGAAAGGGGATAGGAAGGTAGATATTATAAAACAAGGTGAGACACCTAGATTACAACCACTAAGGGGGAGGAGGATCGATCACAACTCAGTTGAAACACGCAATGGGGCCAGAAGAAAATTGAACGATCCATGCCCCACATCTAGTAAAGAGAGTTGCGTGCATAGAGGTGGGGGAATGGAGATGATTACCATCAGTAAGGGAGTTGAAGGGACCCTTCTCAGCCCCAGAGTCAATGATGGAGGTATACGCAGTGGAGTATGGAGAGGAGATGGGAAAGAACCACACGCTGACGAAAGAGATACACTTGGAGTGCAAAAGCATGGCCAGCTGGGACCGGTTACGCGATCTCGAAGCCGGATGCAGGCAATTAGAGATCGTATGTAAGCTTCTCCCAGGGACTGCCTTTTTTAAACCCTGACGATGTCGGGAGCACCCGACGAAAGCTAGGTTTGATTTATTAAATATTTTCTATTTATTCTCTTGGTGATCATTATTTATTGGTTTTTTATAGTATGGATATACCCAAGAGTCAGATTTTTAAGGGATTTTAAGAGAAAAAACACATTATACATTGCAAAAGTCCTATGTCACGTGTGAACCACTGTTAGCCAAAACTGAGAGATACCACATGGGATAGATATGCTAGATCTTTGTGGGGGACTAGTGGGTAATAATCCTCTGTTTTCATCTGCAGTCTGTTGACAAACTATCGGTCTCTCCCTACCCAATCTTTAGCATGACTGGCGCTGAACTATTCCAGGATTTGAAGAATAAAACCATAAATTACATTCCAGGCTCAAAGTTTCAAATAACCCTGCTTAACTATAAACATCACTAAACTGAGAGCAAATCACATTAAGTAATAGAAAAAAGGAAATTTGCTCTAGAAAAGAACATATTTCTGAAAATAGCTCTGACGGTGGAAATTGTTATTAATCAAAAGCCAGTTTACATCTACGCCAGCAATAAAAGTTTGTATTCATTGTTCCGTCAGTTTGTATTCTGGAGGCAGAAACACATAAGTTTCAAGGATGCTAAAGTGGAGTTTTTTAATCAAGACATGTAAAATTTCAAGTGATGGGTCAAAGAGTTACCTTTCCTTTAAAGAAAGCATTTGGAGCGCTATTCAAGGCACGTACAGACATCTATCTTGCAATCCGCACATTACCTTCATGGAATCTGAATATAGGATATATTCTCGTAAAACAGGCAGAAAGTCTTCAGTCATATCTTCGCTCAATTCCTCAAGGGCTGTGCAACAGTTTCCAATGCAGGCTGATACTCCTTCAAGAGGTTCAGACACCTCTGTTTCTAGTGCACTCCAGGTTGAATAAACAGGACCATATTCTCGTAGTTCCACTAAATATTCTGCAGCAGATAAAAACGAGGGACAGAAGATTCTGTGTTTCAAGGTTATGAGACTTTTTTTAAAAAAAAAAAAAATCAAATTCAATTTTGAGAGGAAATGTTCACATTTGGCAAGAAGCTGAGCAAATCAGAAACTATTCACACTTGGGAAAAATTTGGAGAAAAACAGTATCATAAGAAGCAAAATAAGGAGAAGAGATACATAGGAATTTAGCCATTTAACAACTATGCCCAACGTGTCTTTCCAAAATCTTTTTGCACAGCTCCTTATGCAGCATAACAAATTTACATCCAAGAGAGGATGAATGCCTGCATCTTTCACAATTTGTTTCTTGAAAACAAATTGTGAGTTACAAGGGAACCCATAAGTCCTACTTACCCACTTCCTCTTTGATTATCCGCTGTGCTATTCTATCAATAGTTCCTAGCTTCAGAGAAAACGTGTCTAGATAGTCACCCATGGCAGCAAACTCCAACGGTCGACTTCTTAATTTGTAGCTTCCTGTGACATATTTTACCGATTCTCCCATCTTAGTAAGCAAAGCCATTCCTTGTTTTTTGTAAGCATTAAGATCCTGGTATTGACAGAATGGTTAATAAATTTACAGCTCTGCTCAAAGTATTCACCCTTATAGAACTGTCTGATCAAGAAACAGTCGCATTCATCCCACTGAATTTGTTATAGTTAAACTGTGGACCATATGGGTGATTTTAAAAAGTAGAAAATCCTTAGCAATACCTAAGTGACTATTTTTAAAGCAATGAAGACATCAAAGTGAAGTAACTGAAGAAAAGAAGGCTGTTCTTGGCTACAACTGAAAAATTCAGTTGTGTTTATTTTATTGTTCTCTAACCACTACGAGCTCTATACATAAAAGACAATGCCCAACACCTACCAGAATCTAAAGCTAGCACTTAACAAAATGAATTAAAGAAATGTGTATTTATGTTGCTGCGAGGAAATGTTCATATTCTAAGGACTTGCACCTCTAATTACAAGTTTTGAAAATCAGAAATTCTGTGTGGATTCAAATTCACTTACTTTGGCTGTAAGAAATACATGAAAATGTTCATTGAAAGAAAGTACTGGATGGTCCGCAATCCTTTTTAAGAATTTATCCAAGGCCTTTCTCCTCGTCTCAACAAATTCTTCTGAAAAACGGTCAACAACGCCTTTGACTACAAATTTTTCTGGAAGAGGCTGGGGAGGGGAGGAAGAAAGTTACAGGAAACAAAATTCATAGGGATGGGTGTGTGTGTGTATGCATGCATATATGTATATGCACACATGTGCTTGTGTGTGTGCAGTAATTTTTTGCATTACTATCTAGATAATTGTGGAGGAATTAAAATCTACCTTGGAACCTGACATTTCTCCTTGATGTTCAGGATACACCTGTTCTGGTAGCAGAATCAGTTTTTCCCTCGGTCCCAACCCAGAATGAGTCAGAGGCGTTGCATTTTCTTTGGATTTGCCTGAACTGAGACTCTCAGGCCAGTTAACCAGGCAATACTTCCTTCCCACAGCCCGCCTTGTCCTTCTGTTTTATCTCAAAGACATCTGGCTGTTTTAAGAACACTTTATTCCCTGCAGAGCACTAAGAGAAGTTGTGACTCAGTCATCATGGCCCGCTGTTAGTTGCCAGCTTATCACTGCAATCTCGGAGTTAACAATAAAAATATAGTTAAGACTGCACTGCTAACACCATAAGATCACGTCAACTGCAAATTATTTTCCATTTCTGAATATTAACATTGAGGTTTATGAGGACAACCATTTTGCCACTAGTACTCCCCAAACATGCATTTTAAATCTCACAGTGGTGGCAATTTTCAGTCACCTTCAGGTTGTTAATGTCAGGGAGTAGAAGATGAATTAAAATGCATGTTAAAAATCCCAAAGATCCCAGTAGACAAAGTCAATCTAATAGACTAACCCACTTTAAAAAAAAGAAAGTGCTATTAGATAACATGATTTGAAAGTGAGCATGTAAAATCAAATACAGGTAGTCCTTGACTTACAACTATAATGGTGTCTCAAATTTCTGTTGCCATGTGAGAAAGTTGTAAAGTAAAATTTTCCCAATTTTACAACCTTTCTTGCCACAGTTGTTAAGTGAATCACTACAGTTGTCAAGTTAGTGACATGGTTGTTAAGTGAATCTGGTTTCCCCACTCTCAGAAGGTCGTAAAGGGTGATCAGATGACCCTGGGACACTGCAATTGTCATAAATGTGAGTCAGTGGTTAAGCATCTGAATTTTGAATATATGACCATGGGGATGCGGCAATGGTGATAAGGGTAAAAAACGTTCATAAGTCACTTTTTCAGTGCCATTGTAACGTCTAACAGTCACTAAACAAATGGTTATAAGTGGAGGACTACCTGTAGTACATCAACAACAAGCAAAGACTTGTTACGCTATTTATTCATAAAAACGTGCAGTTTCAAGAAGTCCAGTGGGATTCTGGAATTTAAATCTAAACCAATTATTAGAAAGCTATAAATCAAATTTTATAAAATTAAAACTCTGACTCATAACTTAGTTCAACAGAAAATGTTCAG